CAACCATCAAAGACATCATTCCCCGGTACTGGTCGATGAAGGGACGTTATGTTGAGCGCCGGTTTGGCTGGGACACACACGGTGTGCCCATCGAGTACGAGATTGACAAGGAATTGGGCATGTCTGGTCGCGACGCCGTGCGCGAACTGGGCATTGCAAAGTACAACGAGAAGTGCCGAGCCATTGTGATGCGATACGCGACCGAGTGGCGCTCCACAATTGACCGCTTAGGCCGCTGGATCGACTTCGATAATGACTACAAGACGATGGATACGAGCTTCATGGAGTCGGAATGGTGGGTCTTCAAGCGCCTTTTTGACAAAGGCGCTGTCTATCGAGGCTTCAAGGTCATGCCCTACAGCACCGCGCTGGCAACTCCACTCAGCAACTTTGAGGCCTCACAGAACTACAAAGATGTGCAGGACCCCGCTGTTGTAGTCTCCTTCCCGCTTGTCACAGACCCAAACACTTGTCTCCTGGCCTGGACAACGACACCCTGGACTCTGCCATCTAATATCGGTCTCTGTGCGCACCCCGAATTCGAATACATCAAGGTTCTTGACGAAGCTTCCGGCAAGCATTACATTCTCCTTGAGGCTCTCCTACGTACGCTATACAAGGATCCCAAGAAGGCCAAATACAAAATTGTGCAGAAGCTACAGGGCAAGGATATGTTGGGATGGAAGTATGAACCTCTGTTCGACTATCTCTATGACGAATTCAAAGACTACGGCTTCAAGGTTCTGAATGACACATACGTCACAGCTGACAGTGGTGTGGGTATCGTTCATCAGGCGCCTGCATACGGAGAGGACGACTATCGCGTTGCGCTCGCGCACGGCGTTATCAGCGACACACGACCGCCACCAAATCCTGTAGATGACGCAGGTTGCTTTACATCCGTAGTCCGTGACTTCGAAGGCCAGCACGTCAAAGCTGCAGACAAGGGCATCATCAAACATTTGAAGGGAACAGGTCGTTTAGTGGTAGACTCCCAACTCACCCATAGCTATCCTTTTTGTTGGCGATCAGATACTCCATTAATCTACCGAACTGTACCATCTTGGTTCATCAAGATCCAGGATATCGTACCGCAGATGTTGGAAAACATTGCTGGCTCACATTGGGTTCCATCCTTTGTTAAGGAGAAGCGCTTCGCAAACTGGATCACAAACTCGCCCGATTGGGCAGTATCACGAAACAGATTCTGGGGTACCCCACTTCCTCTCTGGGTCAGCGATGATGGCAAAGAAATTGTGTGCGTCGGTAGTGTGGAGGAGTTGAAGAATCTGAGCGGGTACCAAGGTGAGCTTACAGACATTCACCGAGACAAGGTCGATCACATCACCATCCCCAGCCGGCAGGGCAAGGGTGTCCTAAAAAGAACAAACGAGGTATTCGACTGCTGGTTTGAGAGTGGATCTATGCCGTATGCAAGCGCACACTACCCGTTCGAGAACAAGGAACAATTCGAAAACTCTTTCCCTGGTGATTTTATCGCGGAAGGCCTCGATCAAACACGTGGATGGTTCTATACACTTACTGTTCTTGGCACACATCTTTTTGGTAAACTTCCGTTCAAGAACTGCGTAGTCAACGGCATAGTTTTGGCAGAAGATGGCAAAAAGATGTCAAAGCGGCTCAAAAACTACCCCGATCCTTCCCTCATCATGAATAGCTACGGATCGGACGCGCTTCGGTTATACCTCATCAACTCACCCGTGGTCCGCGCAGAGACACTTCGCTTCAAGGAAGCTGGTGTCAAGGAGATTGTGTCGAAGGTGTTGCTACCTTTGTGGAACAGTTATCAATTCTTTGATCAGCAAGTGTCGTTGCTGAAGAAGGTTGCTGATCTTGACTTCACCTTTGACCCTGCAGCAGGGAAGACAAACTCTAATGTGCTAGACCGATGGATCCTGGCATCTTGTCAGTCGCTCCTCAAATTTGTTAATGAAGAGATGGGGGCTTACAGGCTGTACACGGTCGTCCCGCGACTACTTGAGGTAAGCCAGATACGTGCCATACCTGTTCATGTACTGACATGATGCAGCTCATTGACAATACGACTAATTGGTACATCCGATTCAACCGACGAAGATTGAAGGGCGAAGACGGTCTTGAAGACACCAAGCATGCACTCAATACCCTGTTTGAGGTCCTTTACACACTTTGTCGCGGTCTCGCTCCCTTTACTCCATTCATCACTGAAAACATATATCTCCGACTTTTACCTCATATTCCCCAGGAGCTACACGCCGAGGACAATCGAAGCATTCACTTCCTACCCTTCCCAGAGGTCAGAGAAGAATTGTTCGACGACGTTGTAGAGCGTCAGGTGAAGCGCATGCAAGCTGTCATTGAACTTGGCCGCATCTGCCGAAAAAGAACCAACAAGGGCTTAAAGATCCCTTTGAAGACACTCGTGGTCATTCACCCTGAACAGCAGTATCTAGATGATGTCAAGTCGCTAGAAAACTACATTCTGGGGGAGCTCAACGTTCGAGATTTGGTGCTGTCAAGCGACGAGGAGAAATACAAGGTGCAATACTCAGCATCAGCAGACTTCTCAGTATTAGGCAAAAAGCTGAAAAAGGATGCCGTAAAGGTTAAGAAGGCACTCCCTGGACTAAAGAGCCAAGACATCAAGGATTTCCTCAAGAGCGGCGAAATCGTGGTTGATGGCATCCGCCTGGAGTCTGAAGACCTGATGGTCAAGCGCGGACTCGCACAAGACGACAGCAGCAAGGACCAAGAGTTCAACACCGACAATGACGTCCTCATCATTCTCTACACTGGCTCAAATCCCGAGCTTGAACAGGAGGGTCTCGCTCGTGAGGTCATTCGTCGCGTGCAAGACCTGCGCAAGAAGGCTGGCTTGGTTCCAACAGACGACGTGGCCATGGAGTATCGCGTGTTAAGTGACCCGGATGATCTAGGATTAGAGAAGGCGTTCGAGAATCACGGGCCTCTCTTCGAGAAGGCATTACGAAGGAACGTAGACAAGCACATCATCACTGAGCTTGACGGTAAGATACCCGAAAACAACGAAAAGGTCATTTTGGAGGAAGAACAGGAGCTACATAAAGCAACCTTCCTGCTGAGGCTGGTAAAGTTGTGAGAGTATGGTGGTAGACGGTTTGCAGCATCCTTTCCGGCGTAAAGTTTTGATATCAAAAGTGCAAGTAGATCGGTGAAGAATTGAATAAGAGTCTCAAATGATCTATCGAAAGACGTCTCATGCTTTAATTGTGAACATAATGTCCGCTATCGTTGCTTGTATGCTTTCTAATCCTTTATTAATTCTATATAGTATATCGTAGAAAGTGTGGACTTACAAGATAACAGTCCTTCAACATCTTGAACTCTGCGGCGCATTTATCCTTGTACACATTGTTGTAGTCTGCAAATATGCATTTTCCATATAATGAACCCTGTCTGGTATTAAATTCCGTGTTCCAATGAGTTTCGAGCCACTTTGAATAGGGCATGAATGTTGACTCATCACTAGGGTGAAAAAGACATGCCTCTTTTGAGCATTTGGCGGCTGCTGTGGCAAGCTTATCAATTGGTCGTGTTCGTCCAGGCATTGTGACTGTAGACTATCTCCAAGCAAGACCAGATCTCTCGAGAAATAAGGCAGTCAATGATCTGACTTTTGTTCCTTCAAGTTCAGAAAGTGTCGTTGATGAGTACGCTTATGTGTTTCTCCATGAGGTCAACGGCCGCTCCAGACGCACAGACGTCTTGGCGCACGACTTCATCACAAGCGGTTGGCCAGCACTTAACAACAAAGGCGGCGTGCGCGTGTGAAAGACAGTCCTGCAACCGAACAACATCGCAGTACGCGCCCATGCATGTTTCTCTACTTCTTCTTAAAGTACCTTTGTAATGCTCGATTCTTCTTGCGCGCGCACTTCGCTGTTACAAATCCCATTATTTTTGGACGACGCTTGAATAATTCCCCGGCTCCGCAGCTACTTCCATGTTGTCTCGAACGCGCCGGAGACGACCGAGTCGCGTGCACGAATGCTATCCTCCATGACCCCACGTGGATATGAAAAGACGGATCTGACTAGAGATGATTTGACTGATGAGGGTAAGTACACAATAATGTCACGTGTACAGCTATAGGAAGCTAATGCGGGTATCAACATAGTGATTGAAACGCTCTACGAGATTGTGCGCCGGGCGCAATCTTCGGCCGACAACTCGTCGCGCGCTCTCTTCGCTGCATATGGCGCTGTCCTTGAGGAGCAAGGACTGCAGCCCAGCGATGATATAGTTCTCCACCGCTTTTTGTTTCACATGCAACAGCACCGCCGCCAGGGCGAGGACTTGGTGGAACGCTTTGGTCGCGTATTGAAAGAGTCATTTGACATTGATGTAGAAATCAACGAGGATGGTGAGGGCATAGAGGTCACGACGAACTTGGACGCGACGCGCAATGGCGCCCATGCCAGTCTGGGGAGGTACTCTAGAAGAGGAAGCTTTGAGTCCTTCTTTGACGGCACGGCAGACAAGGTTGCAGGGACTGACTATGGCGATTCGTCAGTGAGGACGAGACGAGGGTCGCATGGTGCGCTGAATGGGTATGCCAGTGAGTGGGAACGACGGAGGGCCAGGTCGGATTCTCACGCGATTGCACACGGGCAGACATCACTTCCTGTGCGCAACAAGGTCAATGGCAATCCGCGAAGATCGGTTTCTGGAGCACATCAGTCGCATCGCAAGCGGAGCGCATCGATGTCTAGTCGTGGCAGCTTGCAGATTCGGAGAAATGACCATGTTATACAGTCTCGAAATGGCGGTAATGATGAAAGCAGCGACTTCACAGATCGCACGACGAGCCTGGATTTATCTCATGTCCAGATACCAGGTGTTAATGCTCCCATTCCAGACGACCGTCATGGCTCTCGTCAGGATTCTCGCGACCATCTTCAGTATATGCCCGAGCCATATCGACCATCAGATACCCGATTGCTAGACGAGGCCAAAACTTTGGAGGAGCAGCGTCTGCATAGAGTCACGAGGCAATGTATACAGGCATGGCGCTATCGCACGCAAAAGGTCCTGTCAGCTCATGAACACATGGACAATCTTGCACTTGCCTACAGGCGCAATGTTCTATTGCGGGTATCATTTACACTGATACGCGAAGCAGTAGCAATCAAGCGCAACAATCGCGAAACAAATCGCTTCTTCACTCGTTTGGAAACTCGAGCAGACAAGGCGCGTGCTCTGTTTCTTCTCACGAAATCTTTTACGCATTGGGCAAAGTGCGCAGAGGATGAAGTTGAACGGACATCAGTTGCTCGACGACATATCCTACGTACAAGATTCTTTAACGGCTGGCGCGAAATCACGGTTATCAATGAACTCAAGACGCAGCACTTCGTACTTGGACGATTTGTACGAAAATGGCGGGCGAAAGCTGAGGCAGTCTATGAAAACGAAGCAATTGCCGTGGCGCACTATGAGCATAATCTGGCTCGAAGAGTGTTCAAGGATCTCAAGATGAAATACTTCAATGCTTATGCGCCTCAGTGGCACAATCAATCTATAAAGATGGTCACTTTGCGGAAGATGGTTGAAATTGCGAAGTTACTTAGAGAGCGCGCCACCTGGGCTTCTGATCAGTACGAGCGGTCGGTCTTGAGACGAGCCTTCGAGAAGTGGCAGCATGAGACAGTGACTGTTCAGTCTCAGCAAGTCCGAGCTAATGAGCATCAACGAAGAATGCAAATGTCTTGGGCGTTTCGCACCCTACAGAAAAAGGCCCAACTTGGGCCTCTCCTCCGGCAATTCCAAGCCCGCAACAACGATCGAAGAATCAAGAGTGCCTTTCAAACCTGGATCAAAGACGCTCAACTATCTCGACAAGCCCGCAATGTTGATCAGCTGCGCATTCTTCGCAATGCATATACCGCCTGGAACGATCGATTACGCAGCAAGGTTGTGGAAGATCGCATCAACGATCGCGTCATCATTAATTCTCTCTACAAATGGACCTTGGCCTCAAGAGTCTCCCTATTCAAGCGCGTTCACGACCGTCAACTCAAGGAATCCAAATTCTTAACCTGGGTTACGAAAGCCAACCAACGTGCCGACACTTTAGATACTGCTGAGCGACGATTTGCCAAGTTCAAAAAAGCACAACTCCTCCGTACTTGCCTCCACAAAATGGAAATAATCACTTCAGAAAAGCGAAGGGAGGAGTTTGCGATTCTCGCTGACTATCAACAAAAACTCAAACAACGTATCTTTGAGAAACTAAAGGAGCGATACACGCACTTCCAGCAGCTCAACCAATGGACCAAAGACGCCCGTTTCTATGTATTGAGTAAACGAACGCTAAAGATATGGGGTGAAGCGACACAACACGCACGCCGGAATCGCAGACGTGAGACATATGCCCAGATACGACGCACACTTAAGACGAGCCTGGTTAAAAAGGTATTTGAGCACTGGAGGCAGACAACGAGTCAAATTGCAGTGCTGGATCAGCAGGCGACGGAAGTTTCCGGGGCTCGTGTTTTGCAAAGTGCGGGTGCAAAGTTGCAT